GCAGACAAAGCTTCACTTCCCCTGATTTCCCACACACACACTGCTCACAAGTACTGGTTTTTTTGGGGGAGAGGCCATGTAAGGCTACATCCAGACAAGACCTTTGGGAGAAGGCACAGCCCCCATTGGGAGAAAGGTTCAAGGGTCACCGAGCGAGGAAGAGTCTCTCTCTTTCTGTGGAGCAGGGCCAGGAGAGGCAATGAGGGAAGCCACAGCCACCACAGCAGCAAAAGTACCAATGCTTTCAGTGAAGTTCTTTGTCGTTGTCAGTAGAGAGCTAGGATACATGTGGGAGTAAGTCTTAGATGAGAGACGCTCCCAACAATACAATATGGGCAAGATACGGGATATTCACATATAGCAAAGGAGGGGAAGAGACACAGGAGACAACTGCGGCAGATACCCTTTGTAGCATGGCTACAGGATGCTCTGTCCAGTTGTTCAAGTGGGGCAGGGGTTCCTGTTTGCAGCTGGACTTCCAAGGCAAAGCAAAAGAGGTCAAGTTCCTCTTTGTATTCTGGAGACAGGGTGTTTGGTGCAAAGCACTTCCTTCTTTTTCTTTTAATACATTTTATTAATTTTCTGATAAGAAAAACATCACAAACAAAAATTCAAACCATAATTCTTAACTCAACTATACAGTGGTACCTCGGTTTAAGAACAGCCCTGTTTACAAACTATTTGGTTTATGAACTCGGCAAAACTGGAAGTAGTGTCCTGGTTTGCAAACTTTACCTCGGTCTAAGAACGGAAGCTGAATGGTGGAAGGGCATCGGTGGCCGGAGGCCTCATTAGGGAAAGTGTGCCTTGGTTTAAGAATGGTTTCAGTTTAAGAACGGACTTCCGGAACGGATTAAGTTCGTAAACCGAGGTACCACTGTATATACAAATAATAACATCACCATATCCTGGGATTTCAAAAATCCCTTGACTTCTCTCCACTCCCCCTCTTGGTTCCATTGTTTCGTGCTTATTCATGCACATCTACAACACCTTATATTCTGAACAATCCATTTTTAAAACCTTATTCATGTTATTCCAAGTGACCTTTAAAAGTTCTACTAATGTAAAGATCTATACACAAAGCTTGAAAAATATGCATTAAACATTTCCCTTTTTTTGAAATCAATGTCCTCTTCTTTCATGAATTTCAAATTATCTAAATTGTCCTGCATAGTTCATTAACTTATTTTGCCAATCTTCTTTATCTTCTTTGGCGGTGGCTTCTTCCTTCTGTAGGGGTAGGCTGGTCGTGGCCTGGTAACCAGCCTCAAGTGCAAGGACAAAGTCTTTAGCTAAAGCACTTCCTTTTTCCATTTTCCCTCTTTCCCATCATCAGAGTTATCCCTCGTAGTGTTCTAGGCATGCACAGGGTGAGGTCGGACAGATATAGCCCCATGCTATATTTCCATTGTCTGAGTCAGAGTCTCCCTTGGTTGGGTTTATTTACTGATGGTGGCATGTCGTGATTGGGTGCTGATTAATGCTAAGTCCTGTACTCTGTCATATTAGAGCAAGAGGCAGTGGGGAGCAGTGGTTTGCTTTTTCCTCCAAGTCTTGTTGAACTGGGTTGGCCAGTGTTGAGTTCTCCCCATCATTTAGGGATGCATTAATCTTCTGATGGGTTAGAGGATTTGTGACATCAGTTTGCTCCTCCCTTGTTCCACACACATCTCTGCCATACTAGCAGAGTTGTGTGAGCATAGCAGATCCATTGGTGTAGCGCTGCAGTGGCATAACTGCATGGTTGCAGTGGCATATTCTGTGTGCTGATGGCGTATCTCACATTTTGCCAGAGAAGGGGGTTTCTGCCGTATCTCATTGCCAGACAGTCCTCGTCCTGGTGTAGGATAGTGGCAAATTCAGAAGTGCAGGGTCCCTTCATGATAGTCACACAGCCTGGTCCTTTCGCAGTCCGGCCCTTCTAAGATTATACAACAATAATGATAATAATAGTAATAAGGGATGCATTGCAACCATCAGTGCAGATCTCCATGTGTTGCTTTTCAGCTAGATCTATTTTCTGTGGACGTACATGGGCCAATGATTTGGAGTGCACCAGCCAATTCTTTCAGAGTGATTTATGCTGTGTTTTCTGTTTAGTCCTATTTTATGTAACATAACATGTCCCCTTTCTCTGGAAACTGGCGTGCCTTGTGTTTTCAGTGTTCCGAAATGCTTATCTTTGGAGCATTCAGTGTCTAAAAAGCTCCCATTTCATGCTGACTGAGCAATTCTAGGATACTCTAGATGGGGGACCATGCCAGGATCCTGCTGGAGAAACAGCAGCAGGTCTTTGAACACCCCCATGACCCCTAACCCCTACTTCTGGGTGTTTCAGACTCCAACTCCCATGAATTCCACCCAGCATGGCAGTGGTCAGGGATGATGGGAGTTGTAGTCTGACAACATGTGGAAGGTCCATGGGTCAGGAAAGTTGCTGTAGCCCTTCTGCTACCGTAACTGTAGTATGTATAGAATTGCACTCGCAGTCTGCCATATCTGGATCAAAGGTTACTTCATTAATGAAGGCTACCTTCAAAAGTATTATGAACTCTGCTTGCTCCATTGCATTTCCAACCATCCTTCCTTTGTTCTCAAGATATTTCAAAGCTAATTGCAGTGTGTGTGTGTGTTTAGTTTCATCACTGGGCATTACAGTCGCAGTGAGGAAGGGTTTCAGTACCACCATGACCCCCTGGTTGTTGTTGTTTTTTACACCCAGCACCTGACATGGATGCGAAGTATACACAGCCCACCTCCACCCAATTCTAACTAAATTGCTCATGCTTAAGCCGTTTCACTGAGCATTTTGGAGCGGCCTTCAGCAGCATCTTCTGTCTTTGGTGAATAGGGTTTGCTGCTGTGTTTTGCCCCTCAATATGCTTGTCTTTCCTACAAGTAGAGGATTTTACGAGCTGTAGACATTTCCCGCCCCCCTCTAAAAAAATGGTTTGTGGCTCTGTGATAAAAGACAAAGGGAAGATTACTTTGGTTTATGATTGGCTGGGCGAAAGGGTCACATGATCTTCTTAACTAATGTGGATTCCCAGCCGTTTCTCTCCGGCATCTCAATGCCTCCCTCCCGTATCGACCCATTACATCAGTTCTTCCAAAGCAATCCCCCTGCTGCCTATTTATAAAATGCTCAGGATCTATTGCTTAGGAGCATAGCTTGGCCTCCCCATCCCCTCCCCGCCCCCCCACAAAAGCCACGAAATGACAGGTAGCGTCGATGCTATCTTTGCAGCTATGCAAGCCTTCCTTCAGTATTTGCAGATGGCTCTGTGGTTTTGCTTTCAAGCAAAATAAATGCAAGGTGTTCCTGCAAAAAAGACTCCTCAAATAAAAATTCTCCTCTTTTTTTGGGGGGGGGGGCAAGCTGTAAACAGAGAATGACCTTCCCAGGTGAGAAAAAGGCCAAACATCACCCTGTGGCAACTCAAAAATGAATTTTATGAAGGGACATCTGAGGAGTGGGGCTTGGGAGACCCCTATGCAAAGTTTTTGTGAGGGAGAATCATGAACAAGATCTCCCCCCCCCTTGGTGCTTTTAAAGTGCCTCATAGGTAGTATGAGGGCAGGAATTGATTCAGATCAGGACAGCAATGCTGAGAAACATTTAGTTTAGCTGCCCCTAAATTTTTTTGTTGACCTTTTTTGGGGGAGGGAAATCACTCACCTGTAACAACGACGCAGCGGAAATAACTGCTTTTGTTTCCTGACTCGTCGGGAATATTTGACGCTATGGAGTAACAGAGCAACGGAGGGAGGGCGGGGACTTTCACTCCATTGCTTTTCACTGCTGCCGATCTACTGTATACAGTAGATATACATTTGGCGCCCCCCCCAGAATTCGGTGCCCGCCTGCACCGCACCCCTTGCACCCCCAGGTAAAGGCCAAGGAACATGCCACAGTCAGCGCTGTAACCACAGCAACAGCAGTGGGCAATGAATTCCTTGGAGGCCAGATCTGCTGCCCCTGTGGATCTTGCCACCCGAGGCAGTCACCTCACCTTGCCTCATGGGTGGGCCAGTCCTGCCTCTCCGTAGCTGGTATTCATTCAGTGGTACCCTTCCTCTAAACGTGGCCAACACTCCCTTATAACAGTGAACTCAGTGTGCCTGGAGAAGCCTGCGCATTACAGAAGTACAAGTGCTTTAGGCCTCAAACCCCACCGTCCTTCCCCCAAAACCCAATTAGGAGGATTGAACCTGCTGAGTGCTTTCAGGAGCCCTGGAATGTTGAGTGTCAGCTGGGAAAGAAAATAGCTAGTAGTGGTAGTGGTAGAAAATAGCTAGTAGAGGTGGTAGTGGATGGAATGGAGTAGTCCAAAGAAGGGCATGGCTGGCTGCACCTTGATCAGGAGAACATTTGCTCTGCTGTACTGGAGGCCCCATTTTTCATGCCTAGCGGCCACTGATAAACTTATCAATGTGACCTCAACTTAGACACTGCAGGAAGTAACCAAGAAAGGCTGGGTTCATGTACGCATATTCATCCCTTGATGTGCATCATCAAGTGAATATGTGAACAGGCCATTGCAAATGTAATTCCACAAACCCAGCTTTCCAAGACCTCAAATGTTTTCCATTTCTTCCCCGATGGCATCATGTCTTCAGTTCATACATTCAACCCCCAGCCATTGAGCAGGGATAAACTGAATATAATCTAGAAATGGATAAAGGTACTAGGAAAGGAGCAAACATTCTGCCTGTTTTTTATTCTTATTTTTTGTGGGAATTGTTTTAGTTACTAGAATACATTTTGGATATTTGCCACATCTTTGAGACCTGTTTTGGGGTGGAGATCAACAATCCTTTCCTGGTGTAGATTCCAGTATTTGAAAATCAGCTGGGGTTTTTGTTTTGTTTTTATTTTCTTAAGTGCCTTTGTGAAAATGTTGAGAGTGAACTTTTCCCATTTCTAACAGCCTTGTGTTTTCACTTCCAGAAATGGCTTATTTCTCTTTAATATTATAAGAAGACCTTCCTGCCAGTTGCCACAAACCCGTAGATCCGAACTTGTGCTCCTATCCTACACAAGCTTGTATCTATAGGTATGTGTCTGCTTGGCCAATGCACAAAACGTGGATTTAAAAAATAACAATAAATGTTTAATGCTTTCAATATGGCAATAACTAGATTGGCCTAACTGCCTCACTTGTCTTCCCCCTTCCCTTCCGCGCAGGAGCACTGAAATTAGCCATACAAATCTTGCTGCACAATTAAAATGCCATCCTGGTTATGCTTCATATAGTGCCCCAAATGTGGCTTAAACGACTTTATTCAAAGGAAGTAAATGACAAGGTGTGCAATGTAATGAATTCAGGAGGGCTGGCTTATAGACTGTTGCACTATTGGTCCATCTAGCTCTGCATTGTCTGTTCTGATTGGCAGAGGCACTTCTGATGCCCCATTTGTCCCAGTGGACCATTTCCCACTGGGATGCACCAAAAAAATGCATGCTGGGTTCATACCAGTTTTAAACAGTCATGGCTCCCCTGCAAAAGATCTTGGGAGCTGTAATTTGAGGGCCCCACCCAGCTTACAAAAGAGCAACCAGGAGCTCAGGTCAAGCTCCCAATTGTTCCTTTGTAGCTACATTTCTACCTGCGCCATACCTGCTATCACATACGGCATGGGACAGGTGGGAGTAGTTTGGGGGAGAAACAGCTTTGTGGGCCAAATTGGGGACCTGTCTTCATACAACAATGAAGGACAGAACCTTGCCATGTTTCTTTTAATTGGAAGCTAGTTAAGTTCTCAGGATGCTTCCACTATCTGCTTATTTGGCTTGCACGGAGTCGTGGGACGCATGTGGTTCTTGATCTCACTGTCTATGGCATGTGTATGTTTGTTCTTCTCTACATGTGGGAGTTGACTTGGATTATGATGGAAGACTTCAAAGAGCCTAAGTCTTCCCCTGCCCCACTTTGAGCTGTTATTTAGCTACCATCATGTGGTAGATTTATCTTGCGATATTATTTTTGCTTGTAGCATTCAAATCCACAGGTGTTTCTCAGGACTGGAACAAAGCAGGTGACTGCTTTTGTCTTCCTTGATCCTTGCTTTCCAAGCAAATTTCACAGGTTGACCCCCCCCCTCCCCATTCCCAATATTTGTAATGCTGATGTACTGTAATGCTAATAGGCTTCACTATTTCATTGAAGTCTGCTTGCAATTGGACAGGAAGTTCTATTCCTTTCTTGGCAAAGGATTTGCTATGGGTGATGAGCTTAGAAGGGTTTTTCAATTAATGTCTTCCGTCAGCTTCTGAACCAAACTTTTGCAGTGCTTTCATGCTTGATTTCTGTGTTGATGCTTGCTTGCCTTGAATGATGTCAGTGGTGTTTGACAACACCTGTACTAATTAGGGATAACACCCTGGAATGCAAAGCTGATGGAGAACTAGGTAGAAGGAAGAGGTATTCTTTGGATTATTATTTTTTAAAGTAGTAAGACTTAGTTCCTACAAGAAGGATATATGGACATGAGCAAAAACTGCTTTGGAAAAATGAGAGTAATGAGCAGGAGAATGAAATAAGCTGCCTTATCCAGAATCACCCCAAAAGAGCATATGTCTCAAGGTGCTGAAAAAGTATAAAATCAGTTGCAAAACAGTTCAACACACTTGAACCTTCTTCAGGGGCTAAACTGAAAAGTGACCTGCAGAGATCTCTGTTAGATATAGCCCCCAATATATTTATCTCTGCTGGCCATTTTCCAGTTTAACCCCTGAAGAAAGCCTTTTAGACAATGATTGTCCAAAGTGTGTTAAGCTGCTTTGGAAATAAACCCCAAATTGTTTTTACAGCATCTTGAAACACATGTTCCTTCATTTTGGGGTTTATTTTGGATGCTCTCTGGGATCCAGAATCACACTGTCAGTCTGCCTAGTCAATTTGGTCTACTCTGACCAAGCTAGGAATGGATGAATCTGTCAAGTTTGGTTTCTCTCTGTTTTTCATTTTTACAATATTAAGCTCAGTTCTCCAATGCATGACAATGTGCATGCCTTTCACCAAACATACACCTTTCTGTATGCAACCTTGCATAATATGCAGGTTTTTTGAAAGCATTTTCTCCTAACGTAATACATTTTGAACACATTCATTAATATAAGCATTTTTGTGAGCTTGCTTTGTTAATGCATGCATTTTCATGCACATTTTTTGATGGAGAACTGCATTACAAAATTTGGAGAAGTGCAAATTTAGAAGGATAGCTGTGTTTCAATTTGCATACTGTTCGGGGCAGAATTGCAAACCAGGATGTGAACTGAATAAATTTGTCCCTATCCTTACTCCCAGCCTTAATATTTTATAGCCTTTTAACTGGAAATTGTGAGAAGCAAATCCATGGCATGCAAAACATGCGGTTTAGCACTAAGCTATGACCTTTCCCCAGAAAACTCATGACCTCCTGTTCCCAAGACTCACACCACTTTTGTTCCTTCTTTTGCCATCCTGGAGCACTGCTTCAGCCACACACATGTAAGCAGCGGGTGGGCCCCACATCACCTGAATCCACTGTCAGCTGGATGAAGCCAAGCTTTTCATGTGTTGTGTGAATTTTGGTCATTGTTGACCATGATTTTATGAAACTCACAGAGGCTGCAGGAGGAGCCCTAGCCAGGTAGAGCTACTTCTGTGTTACACATGGGCAGGGGGTTGATTTGAATCCAGCTTGCAACCACACTCTAGGAAAGGTGGGTTCAGGATCCCAGACACAGAGGCACAGCTGAGCCAAACAAAAGGAGCACTGCTTCAGATTCCTCCTGCATGGTTGTGACTGTGAGCACACTTCCTCCTTGAGCACTGCAATGAAACACTGGGTATGAACAGTGTTTGCTTGGTCTGCTATATGTATCCAGGCTGTAATTTTGTAAGGTGAGAGTGTGCATGAGTGTTTGGCCATGGTTGGCGTGGAGTGCCTGGCTATTCTCAGCAGGTGAGCTTACCTGAGAATGAACACTGCACTTGTGTCTGCAGGACACTGCTCCCTGCTGTTAGGAAGTGAAGAGTGCTAGAGCAGTCCAGCCCAGATGTATATCAAAGAGGGTAAGAAAGATGGTGGTGACAGCAGCCGTCATACATTACAGCATGTGTTCTCCCCACCCCCTTGCTTAAGTTTGTGGGATGGCTTCTCTAGTTGTTGGAGTGAAGTTGGATTGAGGGCTTGCCTCTGAAGTCCAAAGGTCAGGGACCTGTTAAAGTTCTGAGCAGTGAAGTGTTAGCAAAGTGTCTAAGTTCCTCCATATGTTCTAGTCTTGGGGTGTTCTGTGCAAAGTGTTCTCTCTGTGTGTGCAGAGAACCCTTTCTCCCTCTTTCCCATCACAAAAGTTTTCTCCTGGTGAGTTGTACGTAGGGATGCGGGAGAAATTCAGTTCAGCTCAATATTTAGAGTTGAGCTCCTGAATTTGCACTTCCTGAAACAGCCCAGGTCTAACCCAGGACTTCCCAAACCTGGGTCTCTAACTGTTTTTGGATTATAATTCCCATCATCCCTGACCTGCTAGCTAGAGATGATGGGAATTGTAGTCCAAAAAACAAACAAACAGCTAGAGACCCAAGTTTGGGAAACCCTGGTTAACCAAACTGCAGCAGTCATTCAAAATTCACACTTGTCCGAATTTTGCAATACAGATCTCCAGCTAAGTAATGTGTACAAAAATGCATTTACTAGAGTAAAAATGTGTTGGTAAAAAATGTGTTGGTAAAAAAAAAAGGTATAGGAAAAAGCATTCTTATTAGGTGAAATTGCTTGCAAAAATGTGTATATGTCAAGATTGCATTTAAAAGTTGCATGTTAAGAAAATAAGAATGTAAGAAGAGCCTGCTGGATCAAGTCTGTGGCCCATCTACTGCAGCATCATATTCTCAGTTTCCAATCAGATGCCTGTGAGAAGTCCACAAGCAAGACCCAAGCACCCTGTCCTACTGTAGTTTCTAGCAACTGATATACAGCAGCAGAGAATAGTCATCCAATATTAATTTAAAAAAAAATCCCCAAGAAAATGCTGGTAAATTTTATGAGAACCCAACAAAAGAAATTTGGAGAAGTGAACCTAAGACCTGGAAAACGAAAAAATTAAAAATAAAAACCTGAAATTTGGGATTTGCCCATGTATAATTCTGTGCTCAACACAAGGCTGGAGAGATACAGTTGAACCTTGGAACTCGAACGTATTCCAGCCCGGAAGACCGTTTGACTTCCGAAATGTTTGACTTCTGATGCGCAGCTTCCGATTGGTTGCAAGAGCTTCTTGCACTCAAGTGGAAGTCTCACCGGACATTCGAGTTCTGAGGAACATTAGAAAACCGGAACACTTACTTCCAGGATTTCAGTGTTCAGGAACTCAAACATTTGGCAACGGAGCTGTTCGAGTTCCGAGGTTTGACTGTATAGGGTTAGAGTTAGGGTGCCCAATTGTCGCCTGAGCCCCCCATCCCCAATGTAATGTGGGTATAGGATTGCATGTTAGATTCTTTGGTCCCATATCTTTTTAAAACAATAATTTATGGGAATTTGGATTTGTATATTGAAAGAAAGAGAGAAAACAAAAGTAAAGCATGCCAAACAGATAAACTTAATTGCAGCTTTTGGTTGCTACTTTTATATGCCATACTTTCACTATTGTGGTATATTTACTCACTAATGCTTCATGACATTACTACATATTGTAATGTCACATTGTTATTACATGACTGCACATATTCACCCTAATTGCATAATTATCTATAATTGCACTAATTCGGTAAAGACATAATTGACTAAAATCAACAAGGAAATACTGCCAATAGGAAAAAGGACATTAGAGGAAGTAGGGCTTGTTTCCCCCCTCTCAAATTAACTCTCTGAAAGCATTCAGGTGTCCTTTAAATGTGCTCCCATCCACCTGGGGACTGCTTATCGGTGAATAGATCCCATTTGGTGGGAGAAACCCAGTGTGCATGCGGGAGATTCAAATGGAATCAGCACCCAAATGAGTTGAGGATACAGGGCACAAACATGGGAGCTCATGTGTGGAAAGGCTATACTTTGGCCATGGGGGGAAATGAAGCTAAATGGTAAATAACAAAGAACTGGATTTGACTGGTTAGCAGGATCCTTCCTTTGCCCCACCTGCCGCGGGCCAACTTTGACAGGTTGGTGCGACTGCCCACCTGCCAGTCATCTGATGCCAGGTGACAACTTGAAAGGGGCTTGCTGTTTCTGCTTGAAGACTGTCTGTCAGCACTGATCATCTGATGGGTGCCAACAGTCATCCCCTTTGAAGTCCACTGGTAGGCAGTTTGTATTCATCTGATGGGTGCTGAGAGCCATCCCCTTTGAAGTCCGTTTGCAAGCAGTTTGAATACTAGCTGCTGCAAACTTCTCCATGGCCATCAGTTGATCAGCACTAAAAGCCCTATCTTCTATCCGGGAGTTCCGGATGAGCTGCGAGATCCATTCTGTGGGAGGATCAGATCCACCTGTATCATCATCACATCCCTGGGTGGTGTCTGAGCTAAAGGCCATTAGCTAATTCTGACTGGATGGTGATACTGTGATGTGGCTGGGCCACATGATGCTACAACTTGCTTGCTTTTCTTCACCAAAACATTTGCAATCTATCAATACCCTCCTTGAAATGCGCTGGCCAGATGTACTGTAGTTCTTTTAAATAAGTGTATTCTCCCCACCCACTCCATTCTAGGCTAAGAATGATGTTGACCTTTTTTTTGCCACAGCATCCCACACAGGATTTTTGTTGTTGCTTCTGATGTTGCAACTTCTAATCCCCCCTCTTTTTTTTTGCCAAACTAATGCAAAATCAGTTTGATCCTAGCTTGTGCCTATGTGTGTGGTCACCTCTTGCTATGTGGGATTGCCAACTTCTTTTACTGGTCTCTTTCGTCTTGGTTGTCTCCTCTGGCACCATATTTCCTGCTTGCTCTTTGTTTATTTGGTAGGTGGTGGTGCTCCCGCTGTGAACTTGTTTATTTCATTTATCCAGCACGTTCCCAACTTCTGCTGCTGTGCTGATCACTCACGTTATTGGCCTACCCTGGCAAGTACGTGCTGGGACATTATTGGGGCAGGGATTTTGACCCTCCCAACATATTTGACTTCTTGCATGTATCCGGGTTGAGGTAGTAGGTTGTATGGTTTAGAATTACACCAAGGGAGATAACTGTACAACCTCCTAGCTTTCCCTGGGTCTTGCACAAAACAGCGAGCATGGTGAAAAGGCTATAAACCTTCGAGAATGTTTTGCTGTCCACGGTCAAATTGAGAAACAACAGGTAAGGTGTGTTTTGTGAATCTTTTTTTAAGTCAATGAAGTCTCCCTTCCCTGGTATGCACCACACCACAAAGACAAATCAGCTTTGTGGTTGGGCTACAAAGTTGCAGGCTGTTTATGGAATGGGGTGGTGATGTCTGGACATCTCCTTTGGGTCCCCTCCACACCTATGGATGGGATTCTTTAGGATGGGATTCTGTAGTAGAAGGGACGGCCAAAGTGGTCAAACCTTTTGAAGTTAATGTCCCTAGCCCTGTCTGTGAAGCATCTCTCTGCATGACTAAAGAGTTGGCCAAGAACTACTGTGTTGCCATAGAAACTACAAGTGAATGATGCTTCCAGAGGAAAAGGACAGGACTTTCCCCCCCACCTGACTGAAGGTGATGTTATCCTGGGCTTAGAACAATAGACACAAGGCCAGTTTTGGGCTGATGTTTGGAGACAGACGGTCATCGCCAACTAAGCTCTACTCAGTGTATGTCCATTTAAGTTAATTGATCTAACTTGGGTTTGTTAATAGGTCTACGCCCCCATGCAGCCTGATTGGCCCCCTAAGAACCTGACGTGGCCAGGGTCTCTCCCAGCATAATGCGGGACACTGTCTTGCCCCACACTAAGGTGGGCGGCTAGGCGGCCCGACCACAACCCAGTCCCACCAGGAAATGGACCCAATTTCTTAGACTCTGGCCAGCTTAAAAGCTGCACATTCAAGAAAGCACCTTGGTCACATAATTGACTTCTTCGGTTGTGGCTGCAGCCTGGAATTTGCTTAGGAACTTTGGTGTCTTGCATTACTGCATCAGGTTCTGTTTTGTGAGCATATATTTTGCTTGCTTCCCTGCCCACTCCTTTAATTTCTCACAACCAAAGGACCCTAAGGACAATTTGGTGAATATCTTATGCAGTTATGAGGCACTGAGAGGGGATAATGTGCTTACCCTTTTTGTATTGAATGCATCACAGTGTGTATGTATATATATATATATCCCAACTCCCATTTCCAGTAGAAAACAAGACACCCAAGGGCAAGCTCGGTTAAAACTTGTCTCAGCTTTGTTAGCTTTCTACATGCAGGGCATTTTTGATGTGAATCAGCCATGGCGAATCTGAATTCACCTGAATCATAAAACTGAAAAACCTTGGGGGCTGTACTGCATGCTTAGCCCTAATATGCGATGATCTGACCTGATTAGCTCTATGCCAGGGCTGTACGAAACTGACAGTCCCGGACCATTCCTCAGCCATCTCTTTTGAACTACAACTCCCATCAGCCCCATCCAGCACAGCCAAAGGTTAGGAATTATGATCACTGTGGTCCAAACCATCCAGAGGGAAGCAGGTTGGAAAAAGACTGGACTAAGTCTACATAAGAGTGGGTGTACCATGCAGGGTTCAGTGGTGCATGTTCTGGTTTCAGCCACATCATTTGAATTCTTGAGTTCAAGGGACAATTCCAGCACTTCTCATTTATGCAGTTCAATTGTACCCAGTGCTTTAATTTCATTGGCTCAGCCCACTCTCCTGTCAATGGGACGGACAGAACTGCATCAGATGACCATGAGTTGTGCATTCTTCAGGGGTGTCTTCCTCCATGATATGGAAGCATCCAGGAAGGAAAAGGAACATGTTGCCCACCACCTATGAGACACTTCCAGCACTCCAGGTTTTGCACTGCAGCATCTAGTAGGGAGCATATTGGTTTCCCTCTGGGTGCATCCTCTGATCAAGGGTTGGAGAATCTGTGCCCCTCCAGATATTCTTATTGGACTCCCATTAGCCCCAGCAAGCATGGCCAATAACCATGAATGAGTAGACTCGGAGTCCAACAACATCTGGAGAACCAGTTTCCCCCTCCTTTCTATAATTGCATCAGTTTTTTTTAAGAATGTGGTGAGAGACTGTCCTTATGTTTCATTGAAATCTGTTGCCAACAGCAAAGTGCTTTGTCTCATTTATGCCTTCAAAAGGAATATAGATATAAGGACTGCAAAATCACTTGGCCTTGGGAATTCATACTCCTATTAAAGATGGCACTGGGGAACCCATTTTGATTGGGTGTAAAATATTTGTGGCCAGTTCACAGTAACTGGCACTGGACTTAAAAACATGGTAAGGGGCCCTTCCCCATTTCAAACTTTTACTGGTAATCATGATTGAAGGCAGAAGGGAAATTACCCAGGATCCACTAAACTACACCCACCTGAAAGTTCTGTTATCTCTGTGTTGTCCTTTTCTATCCTTGGAACAGTAAAAAAAAAAAAAATTAAAAATCATTTTTTGCAGATATATTGCTGTATACAGGTTAGTGGAAAACAACCCCCTCTTTGTTCATCTCTGGGAAATGTTCCTTAACTTTGTAAACTTGATCAAATCATAGGAAACGCAGAACAGGATGGTTAACCTGGTCCCCTCTGGGTGCTGTTGTCCTTCAGCTCCCATCTGCCCCAGCCAGCATGGCCAGTGGCCAGGGATGGTGAGAGCTTTGACTGAACAGCAGTGCTTTGAGTTCCCCATCCATTACATAGAATGTTGCCTGCTTCAGAGAGAACCTCCTGCTTACTAACTGGAACCCATGAACATTCCAGGACTGAAATTAACATGAAAGGTAGCCGTTTGGCAATTCTGGAAAAGAGCATTCATAATAAGAATATTGGACTGTTGATTAATTATGGCATTCCTAATATGTCCTTGAGTGCCCTTCTGTCATATGTCCTCCATATATCCTTCTGTCGTATGTTTTCCATATGTCTTGTCACTAATTAGTTTTCCATCATATGGCTTCCATCACATTAATTAGACTTCCTGGAGAATGTGGCAGTATTGCAAGCAAACGTGGACCTTTTGCAGTGGGCACAGGAACAGCTATTCTGTACCTTTCAGCCCTTGAGCGATGGAGCAAAAGGAGAGAGGAACAGGTGGAAAGGTAATGCGTCAAGATATGGACAGATTTCTCACTTTGTCTCACACCTTGGATAGTGCTGGGTCTAAATAATGCCTGTTTTGAGATTTCTCCGTTTTCCTTTTACTTGCCTATTACTACAGTGCATTGCAAGATACCTTCGACTTTTCCTTGTTTATTTGCTAGATGTTTTAATGAAAACGTAGGGGAATTCCATCAGTCCTAGATTCTTAGTTTATTTTGCAAAGCCAAAGTGAGCATTGCTCTGGAATGAGTGGCAGAAGAAAAGAAAATTCAGAAAGTTCAGAAATGCATCACTCTAAAAAGCAGGGTTTCTGGTCTGCTGTAAAGGGTGGAAGGTAGATAGGATCAGAGAAACAAGGTATGTAGCTGTGATGCAGCAACTGCATTCCCTGGTGTTCCAGCAGCATGTTAATACACCAAGGATGATGTGCAGAGGTTCATGATATTTCAATAAATCCCGTTTGCAGCTGTGAAAATCTGAACAAGAGAACTCCAGTTCATTCCATAGTAGCTGAAATGCAATATTAAATTAAATGCAATGGATGAGTTGTGGCTGACATTTTCTTCTTCTTCAGGGGATGTTTTTAAAAAGACAAGGTGTGCTAAGCCAAAAAGGGTTTTGCATCCAAGGCCTATGGGGCAGGAGGCTTCCCAGCATCGCCCACTGACACTGGTAAGTTGCATGAAGTGTATTATGGGATACCAGAAGGGAAGGGACTCCAGAGTATGCTATCAGGGAAATTGGAATCTTGCCCTCCATCCTTGCATTGATTGACGAGTGGGTAACTTTGAAGTACATCTATGAACAATATTCCTGGTCGATTGTGCTTGTTTATTTGAGATCAGTCAAAGGAGAGTAATGTAATTATAATTATAATTATAATAATTTATTATTTATTCCCCGCCCATCTGGCTGGGTTTCCCCAGCCACTGTGGGTGGCTTCCATCAAAAGATTTGGTTTTGTTTTTTTGTTTTTGTTGTTGTTTAGTCATTTAGCCATGTCCGACTCTTCGTGACCTCATGGACCAGAGCATACCAGGCACTCCCGTCTTCCACTGCCTCCCGCAGTTTGGTCAAACTCATGCTGATAGCTTCAAGAACACTGTCCAACCATCACGTCCTCGGTCGTCCCCTTCTCCTTGTGCCCTCAATCTCTCCCAACATCAGGGTCTTTTCCAGGGAGTCTTCTCTTCTCATGAGGTGACCAAAGTATTGGAGCCTCAGCTTCAGGATCTATCAAAAGATTAAAAATACATTAAAACATCAGTCATTAAAAACTTCCCTAAACAGGGCTGCCTTCAGATGTCTTCTAAACATCAGATAGTTGTCTATCTCTTTGACATCTGATGGGAGGGCATTCCACATGGCGGGTGCCACTACCGAGAAGGCCCTCTGCCTGGTTCCCTGTAACTTCACTTCTCTCAGTGATGGAACTGCCAGAAGGCCTTTGGCGCTGGACCTCAATGTCCAGCCAGAATGATAGGGGTGGAGACACTCCTTCAGGTATACTTGGCTGAGGCCGTTTAGGGCTCTAAAGGTCAGCACCAACACTTTGAACTGTACTCGGAAACATACTGGGAGCCAATGTAGGTCTTTCAAGACTGGTGTTATGTGGTATCTGCAGATGCTCCCAGTCTCCAGTCTGGCTGCTGCATTCTGAATTAGTTGTAGTTTCTGGGTCACCTTCAAAGGTAGACCCACGTAGAGCGCGTTGCAGTAGTCCAAGTGGGAGATAATAGAGCATGCATCACTCTGGCGAGACACTCCGCAGGCAGGTAGGGTCTCAGCCTGTGTACCAGATGGAGCTAGTAGAGAGTGGAACCCATGAATTCGGGGCCGGAATTCCTACTCCAGTTTGGATATTCACCACATTGTTATTGACAAAAGATGTAGATTTGCTGGCATGAGTTATCATAGGTGGTGTTGGTACATTATCACTCCCTGCTGCAATGAGCAATTAAGGGAGTCCTGGGTTTAAGAATTAGGCCCAGAATTTTTCTTGGATTTGGGGGTGTGAGGTGAAAACACCCCCCAAAATTGATTTAATCTTCAGGATATGAGTGCCCCCCCCGAATTTCCGTATCTTTGCAGAGAAAGGAAAGTGGTCAGTAACACTGCTGCCCACTCTCCATTCCTGGGGCGGGTCTGACCCAAGAGTGAAGAGCAGGAGGAGAGTCAGCGACAGCTTCCCTACCCTTCTCCTTGCTCATGAGTATGCCCCCATGCCACTTTGCGAGGTGAGCTGTAGTGGGCTCCCTCTGTGCCCTGCCCGCCTTGGGGTGTTGGCCTACACTCTGCAACTGGGCTCCACCCCTTGGGCTTCTGCCTCAGATCTTTAGCCAAACTCACTCTCTGTCTTCCTTGTCTTCATCCTTGTCTTCGCCTCTCTCCTCCAGTAGTAAAAAGGCCCATTTAATATTCTAGCTAGCCTATCCTCCAACCCACCATAATTGAGTAGAACAAAATTCTTCCTCTCATCAGACCACTTCCCCTGTCCAATGAGTGACCAAGAATTTCTACCTAATAAGCCAATTAGAAGTGCAATTTTATCTTAGAACACACAAGTTTCGCTTTCTGAATGCAATGCATTCCCAGGAAATCATTTGTTAAGTGAGCGTTCACATAATGAGCGGATAGTTTCCATCATTTCCTATGGGAACATTTCTAATCCATGCTTTCTCCCTCCATGCTTCCTACCTGAAACTGCTGCAGCTAATTAACAAAAGCCAAACAAAGTGGGGCGGGGACTGTTTTGCCCCATCTCTCCTGCTGCCTGGTTTGTCTAATAGATTTTTCTCCTTCCATGGTTTCTGCCCCAAAAGGCTGCTGTCAATCAGTGAAACACAAACAATTAAGGAAGTGGGCAAACTCCAGCTGTTTGGATATCTGAACCAGTCATTTGTGTAGTGAGGTTTGGGTATAAGGTTTGTGTAGTGAGGGTTTTTTTTTGGGGGGGGGGTTATTAGGTTGTTTTTATTTTGATTATGTATTTTTATATTTTGATTTTATTCTGTGAACGGCTCTGAGACCTCCAGGTATAGGGCGATAGATAAATTCAATAAATAATAATAATATAATTCTTTGTGTTCAGAAAACTGAGATTTCAGATAATGAGCATTCCAATAGCTGGACCTGTGTGCATTTAAAAGAACTCAGTTTTTCCCAGGTCAGCCTTATTAAAGGAAGTAATCAGTCACCAATGGATACTTCGTATTTCAAATCTAACCTTTTACATTACCCCACATACACATACATTGTATCTAAACCAAGTCCTGCTCTAGTAAACACATTTGAAAAGGTGATTTCTCCATATCCACTTACTAGAGAGTAAGCCCCATTTAGCTCCATGGGGCTTACTCCTGATTTAGTCATGCATAGGATTGCATTCTAAGTCTCCCTAATAATCTGCCTATTAAACCCAGTAAGGTTTGTGTCTTTGCAGATTACAAATAAATGTTCCTCTGAGCCTGTTGCAAATGTCATATTATTTTCCCCAGGCACACATCTCGCAGGAAATGCTAACTTTGGTCCCACTCCTCCAGCATTGATTTGTGCTTTTGTTTCTCTCCTTGAATGTCAAGGATTCCAACTTCTAGAATTGGTTTCCTAGTATACAGTGAGGCCCATAAACTGAATAATGGATTTACTTCTGTCAAAGGTATAAAAAGCATTTGGAGTGTTTCCACTGAAGTTCTAGGCAATTTTCTCATACATGTGTTTTCAAAAAGCTACTTCAAAAACAAAGGGTGCCACTTAAACTTGCTCATGGTGGGTTAAGAGAAATGTATGTTTCTGTTATAGTTCTGTAGAAGGGAGGGTGAACCTGTCTTCCTCCAGTTGTTGTTAAGTTTCAGCTCCCATAACACTTGGCCATTGGCCATGCTGGCTGGGACCCATGGAAGCTGGAGTCCAGCAATATTTAGAAGGCCACAGGTTGCCCATTCCTGGTGTCCACCATCCTCTACAAGATATGGCAAGAGATCTTTGGTTTTGGCATCATAAGTTGAAAGCTAAACAACAAAAGACATGCAGAAAAGGCTATGGTTGACTGTGAGCAAAAAAAGGGAACACATAAATTGGCAGCAGTTCTCACACTTTTCCACAGACTGATTGGAAATTGTTAGGAGTCTTGCTGGACCACATAAGCATCAACATTGTCAAAATCACCACCAAAATCACAGGCCAGGCTGTGAAGAAGGTCCCGTTTCATTGGTAATTGGGGGGGGGGTGTGGAATTAGTAGATTGCACCAGCTCCATATTATGAAAATCACAAAGCCTTAGCCAGGCCCTCTTTAGCTTGTTAAGTCAATCTATTTCTGGTCAGGCACAAATACAAGATGGGTGACACCTGGCTTGAGAGCAGTACATGTGAAAAGGATCTAGGAGTCTTGGTTGACCACAAACTTGACATGAGCCAACAGTGTGACGTGGCAGCTAAAAAAGCCAATGCAGTTCTGGGCTGCATCAATAGGAGTATAGCATCTAGATCAAGGGAAGTAATAGTGCCACTGTATTTTGCTCTGGTCAGACCTCACCTGGAGTACTGTGTCCAGTTCTGGGCACCACAGTTCAAGAAGGACACTGACAAACTGGAACGTGTCCAGAGGAAGGCAACCAAAATGGTCAAAGACCTGGAAACGATGCCTTATGAGGAACGGCTAAGGGAGCTGGGCATGTTTAGCCTGGGAGAAGAGGAGGTTAAGGGGTGATATGATAGCCATGTTCAAATATATAAAAGGATGTCACATAGAGGAGGGAGAAAGGTTGTTTTCTGCTGCTCCAGAGAAGCGGACACGGAGCAATGGATCCAAACTACAAGAAAGAAGATTCCACCTAAACATTAGGAAGAACTTCCTGACAGTAAGAGCTGTTTGACAGTGGAATTTGCTGCCAAGGAGTGTGGTGGAGTCTCCTTCTTTGGAGGTCTTTAAGCAGAGGCTTGACAACCATATGTCAGGAGTGCTCTGATGGTGTTTCCTGCTTGGCAGGGGGTTGGCCCTTGTGGTCTCTTCCAACTCTATGATTCTATGATTCTATTCTATGAAAATGGCCTCAAAAACAATAACTTCAGTGCCAAGCCAATTGCAGATGTTCTCATTACTTCCGCAACCATTTTGCAACCACTGGAATGGAGCTCATAGGCCCACAGTTGGAGAAATAAGCCAAAAGCTTTATTTATTGCATTTTCATGCTGTATTTCCTCCATCATGGAGCAAGGTTGCATTCATGGGGTTCCCAGACCATTTCCATTCCGGGCACTGAAGAGACCCAAAGTAGCTTAGCTTCAACAAGGTGGCTGCATCACAAGCTATAGGCATTGGTGGCTTGGTAGAGGAACTCAAAGGTCATCCCATGATAGACGGTGTATAGTAGTGATTGGAATATTCAAGTAGATGACAGGGAACTGGTGGCCTTCCAGATGTTCTTGGATTCCAGCTCCCATCAGCACCAACCAGCATGACCCAGAGTCAGGAATGATGGTAGCAGTAGTCCAACATAATCAGGAGGGACACAGGTTTCCCCATCCCTGGACTTAGGGGTAGGGAGATCCAGCTTCAAATCTCATGAAACTCGCTGGGTTATCCAGTGGACCATGGATATCTCTCAGCCTAAACCTGCCTCACAGGTTTGTTGTGGGGATAAACCGATGAAGATATGCATCTGAGCCTGTTTCTGTATCCTAGTCTGTAAGCAGTATTTCTAGCCAGTTTCCCAGTTTGAAATCCAGGCCAGGATATTAGCAGCAACGCTGAGTATTCAAGGAGAGAAGCAAAAGGTGCTGGAATGAGGTAGCATGCAGGCTCAAGGCTCATTCTTGGTCTGATTAACCATGTATCTGTCTTATTCTTAGGCTGATACACCATTGTTTCTGGACTGAACTTGCTATATCTGAACAGCCTCACTGTATGGGGAACTACTTGAACACTACTACTAAGTCATTTAGACTACCACCCTGGTGCTCTCCGGACACTGTTGGATCATGGGCAGACCCTGTGTGAGGCTATTTGACTCCCCCACCCCCGCCAGCCAGCATAGCCAATGGCCAGAAATGATGGGAGTTAATAACATGAAATATCTGGAGAGCCCAAGTTTGGAGGACGACTGGTTGAAATCTGGGATTTGCAAAGGTTTTGTCATAACAGGTACCCCATAAAGAAAGGGTGGGAAATAAATTTTCAAATGACAGGAAAGATTTGATTAATTTTTAAAGAAGTTGTTTAAAATACATGTTTATATGTTTGATCTGCTAGCAAAGAGTGGACGAGTTGATGGCAAGGTGGTATCGGTGTGCCTCCATAGCCAGTCTTTTCCCAGAGAGGAAACAAGACCACTGTTCAGTATCTGAGCCTTTGTTCATCACATCTTGATGAACGCTTCAGAACTTGTTTTTGCTCCAGTTAGAGAACACCTAAAGCTCATAGGGTTTCATTACGTCTTTTGAGCTGAGAGTCACAATGGAGCAGTTTATAATTAACAGCAGTGCCTAGGTGTCAGGTCTAACAATGAGTATCACAGTCATTGGGAGACAATGGACCATTTCTTTTAAAAAACTGTCATGGAACCTGAACCTGGTTCCCATCAGCAAAATTGGCTGGCTAAAGAGATTCTTGACTAGTGCTATTTGGGTCCCACCAACTGGCAGAACAAAAGCTGCTAAAAATGACTGGGTGATATGATGAGGCTCCAAATCATTGTCATACAGCCTTTGGATGATGGACAACTGAGCATACTTTTTTTAAGGGTCAAATGGTCTTGTTAAAATAGAGAGTTTCACTTGGAAAAGTTTAGGCTTTTCCCTTGGAGTATGATGAAGGAAATACCAAAATGTTAACCATTCTCTCTCGAGACAGACAGATGCCAACAACAAACCCATTATGGACCAGTGTATCTGTCTGTCTCTCTATTTCTGCAAGGGATGGTTTTCATAGACCTGAGGTTCTAGAGCAGGGGTGGAGATCCTCAGTTTCCCCATTGTTCACCACATTCTGCAAGTCCTCAAGAAAATTTCTCAGCATTTTAGTACAAATGCCATCCATTATACACATTTGTATATGCAGGTTTATCTAATACATGAGTTTTTTCATGCAGTTTCCCCAATGTACTGCATTTTTTTGTGTTATTTTCCTTAATACATAACGTTTTAGCACAGCTTCCTCTAAACTATGCATTTTTGTAAACTTTAATTGGTTTGAGAACTCTATTGCAAAATTCTATGAATTTTAAAGGTCAGCTGTGCTTTAGTTCATGTATTGTTTCAGGAAGTCAAATTGCATTAAAATGTGAGCAACCAAAAAAATTTCAGCCCTATCTTAATTTCTGATCTTCATCCTTCTCTCCAGGATTGATTAAAAAAGAAAATAAACTGGTCCAAAAGTTCAGTACAGCATTCTGAAGTCTAAGAGTGATTGCATTAGCAGGAAACATTTGGGGTTAGCACTTGTTTGTCTCACAACCCTTTGAAGCTGTCCTTCCCCCTTTGCATAAAAAAGCACATGTGTGCATCAATTTCAAAACACCCACCCACCATAAAAAGCAATCTTGTATAAAAAGTTTTATTAGTTTTCAATTACAGTCCAATAATAGCCTCATTATAACAATACCAATTTATAATACAATTATTAATACCAATAATTCAAATACTGAATTATATAATTTAGCTAAAGTGGCCCCCCGTGAGCTAGATTTGATGATTTTCTTTATTCCTACATTCCAAAAACCTTAGTTTCAATTACATTCCAGTCATAATAATAATCCCTTATACAACAACTGCAATATCAATAACTTCTATCCGTGCTGACATATTAAATGATTTATAAAAACTTCAAGTGAGGAGCTCAAACTATATCCTTGTTCTTCCTGTATGTGGCAATTATTCTGTCCATGGTGTTTCTTCCTGTCCTTGTAAAATATTATGTCTTTCCCCCCAATTGTTGCTGTTATCTGTCATGCCTTGGGTGGAGCCAATATCCCATTGTAGTTTTAGAAATTTCTCCATCATAAAAAGCAATCTTGGTTTGAGCAAACGAATCTGGATGCAAGTGCATGTACAACCAAACCAAGATTGCTTTTTATGGCTCCCCTTTATCACATACACAGCCCAACAAGACAACAAACCGAACCCACCGACAGCATACAATTCAATATGGCTAACTTAACCCAACAATACACCCCCCAACCAAACAAACAAATCCTACTTCAGCCAACCAAAGACAATCAACCACACCCTAGACCACACCAACCTCTCTCACCACCAAGGATACATAACAAGTGACTAGAAAGGGAACCTACTCAAGGGATGCTGACAAAAAAACCCCACACATATGCTGAGTAAAAGAACATAAGCTTTACCACCCACCCCCTCTCTCCCACCCACCCCTCTTTTCTTCCAAACCCTATAGTGCATATAACACCAATGTCTCACAACAAGTGTAGCTGATCTGTAGAAAACACAACCTGAAGAAAGAGACAATTGGTTTTTTACGTGTATAGAGGGCAGCCAAAATTCAAAGAAAGCAAAATTCAGAGCAAATTCATGGAATAATAAAAGATCAGAGGGAGGGGGCAGGATTGCTGATAAGGGTGGCTTACCACTGCATCACCCCAAGAAAGGTCAGAAGAGGACACAGGTTTGCATAACATTTGCATGTGTGAATTTATGTGTATTGATGTAGATTTAGAAATATTACTATAACTTACATAGAAACGTAATACATCTTGCCATAGTGGGGAAGACGGTGACCAGGTGAGCTGTGTTCAGTCTGGGTGCTTCTAATAGGGATGGAGGAAAAAAATCATTTGATCCACATCTCACACAGCAGACCACCTGGCCCAACATTCCTAAAGCTGCTTGCAGGATGCAACTGCCTGTCAAATTGTACTCATCATCCTGGGTTTTGCAATGAGGAAACGTGTATGTACGCAAAAATACATATCTTACTTTTTAAAATGCCTACAAATGCACACATAGCAGAATAATGCATTGGGGGGAAATGTGTATTTTACATAATGACTGTGTACAAAATGTGTACAAATTAAACACAGACTTTTTGTGTGTTCTTTCAAAAAGACCTAACAGACCTATGATTAAGTACCAGTGAAATGGGATGGAAGTCAACTACTCAGTTCATACCTACAAACTGTGGATGGGAGTCTACAATGTCCCTGCTGCTCTCTCTTCTTATAATTCAATATCTTTAAACCCAGCTGGTACAAGACAACCACTCAAACAGAGGACTGTACTTGACAGCTGTTCAAATAGAGGATCATCCTCTGTAAAATAGGACACATGGCTACCCATACCCACATCCCAAGCAGAACTGGAGTATTGGCTCCCTCAAAACATAGAACCCTTTCAAATCCTTTCTTTGCTTCTATTTCTCCTTTCCTATTCCTCATTCAACTTACTTCCCTTTCCCTTTCTTCCTTATCTCTATAAGCACCTTGACCTTGGCTGAGTGGCTTGTTTTGAACAGGACAATAGCGGGCTTTTTTCCCCTCCCTGCAATGCTGCCAGACCATCCTTTCCTCCATTTAACTTAGGGGCTCAGTTTCCAGTTTGCATTGAAATGTTAAGGTGGGGTCTTTCTCCTTTCTGGTTTCAGTCTCTGTCCAAGACTTTCTCTGTAGTTTTCATCCATGAAATAACCAACCACACAGTCCACTTTAATCAACTGGAGTCTTTTTATAGACTTTGTGAATCTTTTGGGGGGCCCTTGAGACAATTTGGGGAGTTGCAATCATTTCAGAAATGATAAACACAAAAGAATGGTGGGAGAAAAAGAAGGCTATGATTCCACAAACATGCTCTTTTTGGTTCTTTTTTATGGCTTTAACCAAAATCTATCCACATCAACAAAAGAATTTCCATTCAGTGGCTTTAAGACATTTTATATAATTTCATTGACTCTAAAGGAATTGCCCCAAAGCTGTTTCTTTATATGTTGTGTGTATACGCACACAAATATTTAAAGATTTTGGTTGGATTAAATTGTCCCGTCTCTTTCATGACTCTGACAGGAATAACAGCTGTGGCATTGGAGGGCACACACATTTTTCAATAAATGGTCTGTGTGGGTTTTCAAGCACCACAGCTTCCCTTTTCAGATTTCACTTTCCTCCAGTGGAAAGAAGTAGGTCTCTTAAGGCCAAAGTTTACAAGTCTTTGACAGATCTTCTACTGCTTGTGTGGATTGAGATCCTGATTCCATATTGGTGGGAAATGGGAGAGGTAGGGGGTGTCTCCCAAAACCTTTGCCCTGAGATTTTCCACTTTTGATATAACTGGTGCTTGGATGACTAGAAATGCTTAGTAAATTATCTGTGCCTTGAAATCAGAGCTGCAGGGGATCTCAAATACCATCTACTTCATTCCACTTTAATCATATTTCCCACTATCTTCCAGCAACTCTATACCCCCCTGCAAGTATCTTACCTCCCTTAAATGGTCCCACACATTCTCTATCACTGCCTCCCAAGTCAGGAAATCCCTACTGGGATACCTGTGTAGGACCACAGCATCAAGTTCCTCTTCAAAAACCACTTTCTAAACCTCTCAGTCTGCATAGTTTTCCTGTTTGGTCCCAAGGAAGAGTCCATAGGGCACAGTGGGGCAAGGCATATTGGTTGTCCCAGCACCAAGGAGAGCTCCAAGTAAGCAGCTTGCTCCAACAAGAGCTGGAGGTGAACTGAAGCCTTTTGAGCCTCTTCCTCCCTGTTCACCTCTCCTAGGCTCCACCTGTTTTGTTGGAGTCTCCTAGGCTCCACCTGTTTTGTTGGAGAACTACTTACCTTAAAGGGCAAACACTGTAGCATGAAGAGCAGGCACGTCTTTGATCCATGGCCTCTCACTTGGTGTGCTCCCTGCCCTGAAGGATGGGT